AAAAATGCTAAATTGTGAATCAAATCGCCCTATAAAGGGCCAAACAACTCGCACAAGGAAACATCGCGTTGCATACAGAAAAGGCACAGAACTAGATGGATCACTTCCAAGTCTTTCGGCAACTTTTGCTATCCGTTGCCCAGTCCAAAGGCAATAAAAATGCAATAAAACCCTTCCACGTCCAGGCGTGATGAAAATAAATTAAAATTCAAGGAATCATCTCTGGTTGGTATTTTAAAAGTAGCCCCGACAAAGCCCTTTCAACGGGGCCGATAACAAGAAACTCTATCTGTAGGAAGCCTTTCGTCGTGACATCCGGTAGAACGAGCATATTTGGAATTTCAGCCGAATCCACCCTCTCGAAAACCATATGCGGATATAAACCGTAAACAACAGAAACCCCTAATTCGGTTGACAATGTAAAGGCGCGTGACGTCTCATCAAACAAGGAAAAAAACGAGCCCCCTTCTAAAAACCAAAAAACGATAATAACCGCCTCACTTTTAGTGCGGAAGCGCGTGCATTCGAATTTTCAGGAATCCAGAAGTCACACACACACATATGAAAACAGGCTGTTTCCAGCTTTATGGAAACGGAAACATCAGGCTTGTGGCCTGCGAACGCAGCCCCCATTTGTCTGTCGCCCTTCGGAAAAAGGGGGGCGACAGGAACGGGCCCAGGCTAAATTTAGCCCATTATTAATATAAATTGAGGGGTTGATGATGGCTATGGGATGGTGAAAATTGCTGGTTTAATGGGCCAGCCGACAAGCGAAGATGAGGCCTAGTTGCCTCCTCTATGTCTACTCAAGCTATAAAACGGTTCCGAATTGATTGACACAGTGCATTTTGGTTCAAAACGGGCTGTAGAAAATAAAATTGTTGGACTCATATTCACTTCAGAGCTCATAAATAAGGTAGGGACACGTAGGAATCCAACTGGGAAAGTATAAAAATAAACTTTTAGTTCATCGTCTCGGATAAGGCGTCCAGTGACTTGTTTTCTCAACAAGAGTTAACGACTCGTGACAAAACTTTCCTCCAATCGATATGTTTCATGTTTGCATTCGGATTTTATGTCGCAGCACATTTCGATTTATATCATTTTATCATCGCATCTTATCAAGCCATTTGTGCCAATTCAGTCAAGGAAATATTTGCTGTGCTTGTTAGGAACGCTGGCTGTATTTATATTAAATTATTTATTTACTGCAGCCCCGGAATCTATTTACATCTCTAAATTATGTCCGTCGAACACCCAAAACTAAACCATACAGTGATAATGTCGATTCGACCGAGAAAGAACCTAAATATTTACAAACAGCATTTCTATTTTCGGTTGCTCACTCTGCTTGATGTTCACCGTTTCGACATGGTCTTTGAATCGTTTTGAAGAAACCTCATCAAAGTGTCTTATCGAAACTATTCAATTCTTTGAATTTTTGGCTTGATTTAGCAACTAAAAGGGTAAACGTGCCAATGCCGTTACTAATCGGGTGTCTGGGGTGAAACATCAGATTTTAAAATTACTAAGAAAATCGTACCAAGCCAAAATTAAATAACAATCAGCCTGAGATTGTTTTGCAGTATTGTTGTCTATTGGTTATTCTAATCTTGAAATTTTCTTGTTATTATTGAATTAATTTCACGCCTCATTAGCAAGACTCTTGCTATTGGCCTTGCTTTGCTCATCACTGAATATGAGGAATTGAATCTTTCTCGTGTGGCAAACGAGTCGGGCATTATAAAATCATCGACAGTTTTGCATGAAAGCTTGTTGTCCCAAACCTGCATGAGTTTATGTTCATATTGTGACCGCTTTTCCAACAGTCAACAGTTCGCAAAAACTGCAATGAAACGTGCAGTTTGTGTGACTTTTCGCGGTTGTCTCAGCTGAACTGACTGGAACTGCAGCAACACTTGATGAAAAACGTTCTGAAGAAACCGCTGTTCAGGCGTACTTGGCTGGCCCTTGATGGATCAGCACCATCATTGTCCCTCATTTTTTCAGTTATTTGCAGCTGATGTTTATCATCCATTTGGAGATATGATGTGATTGATTTGGTGCTCGAATGTCCAGTGATTTTTATTAGCTACTGTCCCCCAACCCCTTTCTTTGTCTATTCCTCCCAGAAGGTATATTTTGGTACCTTTCACTCGCTTTGCAAGCAGGATTGATAGATAAAAAGCGGTTTATTTTGATATTTTGTCGCTTTTGCATAAATTTGTAAAATAGTTCAATTGGACCAATCTGGGGACTAGTTTGCAGACAAATTAATCACTTTGAAGAAACGCGAGGCCACTTCTTCCATGAGTCCTTTTTGGGAAGTACTAGATTATATTAAATTCTTCTAGATTTGCCGCCAACATCGTCAACTTCTTCTTTGAAACATGTTGTCAAATATATCAATCCTTCTTCTCCATGCCGTTCAATGCGTATAGTTTCTTCTGCAGACAACTTCTTCTATTGAAGTAGGTGATTTGACACAAAAACGAGATATTTTTTCAAGTTTAAATAATAAATATCCGCATCCACATGATCAAAAGGGTACTGCGATATTATTTGGATCAAAAGAAGGCAAACTGTTACTAGTTAAAAGGTCCGTCTCATCTATTAATGGTCTAAGTTCTAGAAACATTTTTGTTTTCAAATATCGGTACGATGGATTTTAATCAAACTTGTTTCGAATTTGCTCCCATGTAAGACTCATCTTTGGATAAACCAACCGCGTTCATTCATACGTTTTGGGTAAGTGAAGAATTATTTAGTATCTCGGTATAAAAGCTACCAGAACTTTTTATTTGGTAGCCGGAATCCACAGATTTTTTTTGCGCTGATGCGCTAATCCTCGTTTGTCATGTTTGTCCTCTTTGCAAAATTTTGTAGCATTTATACTTTTGAACAAAAGAAATATTCCTGTTCTCTTGACAACTGGCAATTTTAGAGATTTTTTTACTAAGTTTTTCGTAATATCGGGAAAGTGCTCAGATTGATTTCAATGAAGCTGTGTGGATTTGATCGTATGTTAGAACGATATTTTGCTAAAAACTCGCTTATTACTTTCGTGAGATATCTGATGAAGGCAATTCGGAAAAAAACGCTTTCAAATGACGATCGGGCCTAAGACTATGTAGGTTAGCTAAAATTCATAAAACGCTTGGCAATTAATTTATTATAAAAGACAGGCCGGAAACAGGTTTATTTTTTTACGCAAAAGCTATTAATTCTACATGATTCTACAAAGAGCCCATAAATGTCCAAAAAGTCTCATAAAAAGTCAGTTGATTCCAGCTACCAAAGAAAAAGTTCTGGTGATTTTTGAACCAAAAAAAACCACTCAAGAATTCATCACTTGTCCAAAGCGGATGCACTCACTTGATTCACCAAAATACGGGTCTTACATAGGAACAAATTCACAGCGATTTTCATTATAATCCATCGGACCATTCTCTCGACATTTCAAAATACATATTTTTTAACTTTGAGCCGAAGAATATACAGGGTTATTCATGCTATACGGCACGGAAGTTTGCGGCTAAACCGTTTGATTTTTAAAAACTATTATTTTATGAATTGTCCGACGCCTACCGGGCGCACATTTTAAAAATATTTTTGTAATGTACAGGGTGTCCTAAAGGCTCTAAAGGTATAAAAGTTGCGTTTTTTTAAATGGAATGTCCTGTATATTATTGCATTTTTGGATTCGCTGAAGAAAATAAGTGTCTGTTTTAATAAGGTTTATAATACCTAAATCTTAAGGTTTTTTAAATGATACGTATTTAATCAAAATCTGATCTAATTTTCACGTGTCAAATACTTTAGAAGTATTTAAGTTATGTAAGCGTAATTTATAGTGAAGTGTAACAAGATATAATATTTTATATCCCAATGATAATAAGCTTACCATGTTATACAGGGTGTCCACAAATTTAAACTAATCAAATAAGAACTTTAAGTGGCTCTAACTTGATTAATTTAAATACAACCCCATATTTTTTAGCTTACCAGGAAATGAAATTTTTAATTACCTATCGAATGGTATTGGGATGTTAATAGCTAAGTTTTTGCCTTTTTACAAAATACGTCAAATAGTCGTTCTGTGCACCATTTGGTGATGTTTAATTTAAGGTTCCAATGTAAGTTGGCTATGCCATTTACACATGTCAAATAATTTATTTTATTTGTCAGTTTAGACTGCAAAGTCTCTTTTTGATAGCTAGAGTGGTATTGTT